AAGACTTCTTATTTTTCTCAAAGAGTTTTTTAGAGATAATCTCACAGTGATGAGCTGATATCTTATAAGCTCCGTAGTACTCTTCTTCTATTTTCTCTTAAAGAGTTTTTAGAAGTTTAATGAGACTACACAAGTGTAAAATTTCTAAAGCAGTTAAAAGAAAAGAGATATTTAAAATTAATAAAAAGATTAATATTATTAATTCACAGACTGCTACTATTCTAATAAGACTGCAGTCTACTGAAAAAGTAAAAAGAGAGATCAGAGTCTACTCATTAATAATTACATTCTTACTAAACTTATTCTTCACTGTTAAAGTCTCTGATACTGATATCTTTATCTGCTAAGAAGTTAGCACTGCAGCATTATAGAAGAGCATGAGAAATATATAAAAATATTAACTTATCAACTTATAAAGCATCTCAGTTATCTGCTTTAATTGAAGTGAGATTCTCTTTAATCAGTAATTGATCTCTACAGCACTTTTAACAGCAGCATCAGTTAATCTCTTCTTAAGATCAGTCATTCTAAGATGTTTTTTTATCTTAAAGATTCATGCTTTCATCTTCTTTTACAGATGAGTAAAAGAGATCTTCTCAGTCTTAATAGAATTTATTAACACTTGAAGCTCTGAGACTCTCACTCTGTACTACTTAAGTATTCAGACTTCTTATCAGAGCTGACATGATATCTTTCTATAAGATAATACTTACAGAGAGACAGAAGTCATTATTACAGATATAACAGAAATAATAGAAGTAAGAGAAGAAATAGATGCATAAAATCCCCTTCTTCTTCAGCTGCTTAATACAGTGTAGATAAGTAGTGATATCAGTCAGAGACTGCACTGAAGTCTTCTCACAGAGAGAAGATGAAGAAATCACAGAACTCTGCAGACTCAACTTAACAGTATTTCAAGCAGGACTCAGATATGCTGTGAGAGAGAAACTATGAATTAAGCTTCTCAAGTCACTGTCTCTGAAATCAAGCTCTCTCTGAGTTTCTCTCTGAATAATTACATGAAGTCATACATCACTGTATTAACTGAAGAGAAGAATAGCATCACAACAGTGATGAAGAGAGTAGAGAAAGAACTGAATATGAATAAACTGACTAACAGAAGAGATGACATCTCACTGCAAGATACAGTGACTATCATCACAGTTACAAGAGAAGCAGAAGAAGAAGAAGAAGAAGAAGATATGATAATGAGAGTAGTGCTTCTGCAGTCTGTTAATACTATTATCTTCATCTTCAATCAGACTTTCTTGACAGTCATGAAGACTGCAGTCACATTATAAAGACATTTATTCACTAGAAAATGTCAGAATAAGCTCTTTATTATTCTTCAAGAATGATACTCTCATACACTCACTGTTATAATTGAGAGAGAGAAAAGAAAAATGTTTCACAGAGAGAGAGATCTTTTCAAAAAATTTTATCACTACTATTAACTTTGTTTCTAAAAATACATCACTTTTACAGAGAATTCTATACATAGAATGAAATATATTGAGAGATCTGTAAGTCACTTATTAACTACATTTTTCACATTTTAAATTAATATATAAGAAACTCACTTGTCACATGTTTAATTTAAATGAAGATGAAAAAAGAAAGATTTACACAGTCAGCAGAAAAACTCATCTATTTCTTTATATTACATGCAGTATATGTACTGTTAATTAATTAATAATTATTGCTATATAATAAAGATAACTTCTAATTCAGTAATCTTAAGAGTATAGAGACTAGACTAGCCGGTGAGACCATGAATTTCACATTTGGTTTCATTTGATCTGGTCTCATACATTTCTTGATGTGAGTCCCACCAGGATCAAGCCTCAAAAAAATCTGAAAATGGATTATTTCTGAGAGAAATGATGTGAAAAATGACCAGATTTAATTCAAGAACAGTGAAATAAGAGTAATTTCTCAGAATAAACTGTGAAAGATGATCATTCTTCTAAAATCAGAATGAGACTGAGACTGAAGATCAAAATCAGTCTCATTCAGTTCATTCAGTGATTGCTTATATAATCAGAATTTGGTAATAATTATTGATAACACTTATGAAACAACTAAATACATTCTTGTGTAAGTTTATTCTTCACTTTCTCATGAAAACTACACTTCTCTGATATACTGTGATCAGAGGTATTAAACTGTCTGATAATTTCATGTTTTACAATCATGAGTTTCTTGATTGTTTCTTCTTATAATTGTCTCTGATAATAGTGATAAATATCTCAACTTGAGTTGAACTTTCACTTCATTCTCATCTCTGTTAATGAAATTGTCAGAATATCACATATCATCAGTGCAACAGTTGAATATATACTCTCAACAATTTTTCATAACTCTAGAATTGATTTAGTATGTAAATTTGTCAGATCATCTTGAAGATAGCAGTCAAATTCAGTTTTACAAGTATGTAGTTTTGCCTGATTTTCAGTTGTAATCAATGTATGTAAGTTCTGTTTCAAAGTTAGTATTATAGTTCTATGAGATATGAAGCATTACTAAAGATTGTTACTTACTAGGAAATTGTATTTCACTGTCTTCATATCTTGAACATCTGCTCATTCAAATCTCTGATAGTTAATATTGTAGTAGTCTTGAACTAATTTGATATATAAGTCTTATTTCTTCTCTATTCAATCTTGAGAAGTGTAGATATTAACTCAATGAGAGAGATCTAATAGAGCTGCTACAGCATAGTACTCTGTAAAAGATTGTTCAGTTTTACTGTAGTAATATGCCAGTTTATTTCTTACAGTAATAATAGTCTACACTATAGCATCATCTCAGACTGAATTTCTTTTTAAGTGATTCAACTGCTTCTTCAGATGAGTAAATAAACTGTTATACACTCATCAGACTGACTGCAGCATTGATGTATAAGTGATTGAGACTGTCTTTATTATCTTATAAAACTGAAACAGTAAATCAATCACATATTTCAACTGAGTTCACTTCATATCAGAAAGTTTCAATATCTGAATCTTTTTCTGATCAGAGTGTTGCACTCAATAATCAATTATCTGATACAATCAAAGAGTTTAAACAGTTATCTTATATATTGAACTTCACTGTATTCTAATATTCTGTATCATATTCAGTGATGTGACTGATTTGTTTATTTATTGAATATTATGAAATTGTTATTATTATTTAGAGAAGATATAAATTATATTAGCAATGTTTTGAATCTGTGATATTTAAATTATTAGTCAATCTATTCAAAATTAACAGTAGTGTTATCAAAAAGCATTATCAAAAAGTAATATTAAAAAGTGTTGTTAAAAAACATTATCTTTTATAAAGTAGATACAAAAGTTACTTAAGTAACTACTTTCATCTCATTCTCATCTCAAGAATCAGTCATCTCATTATTCTTCATCTCAATGTTAAGATTCTTTATCAGTGTTTATATCACAAGTTGAATCACATGAGCAATGCAGAGAATATGACCTTGTTTATCATTTCAGAAATGCAAAGTCAATTTTTGCTTTAAGCTCTTTATTATAGTGTAGTTATTCACAGCATTGTCAGTTGTAATTATAAGAAGACTGAGACTAATATTTCAATAGTTATTTTTAATCACAGTTATTAATATCTCTGCTATATAATTCTCAGTATGACTACTGATTAATGATTCAAATTCAATTAATGTCTCTTAATAAGTTCAGTTCTCATTAGTGTAATAATATATAACTCTCATAAATACAAGATTGTTTGTACTAGTTTATGCATTCACTGTAAGAGACACTCTTCAATGATTCTTTAACTCTCATTCTAGATATTGTATATTGACTTTGTAGTATATCTCAAGGTTGAACTGAAGACAGAATTGATATGAAATATGAAGATTTGAATTAAGCATTTGAAGAAGTGTTTGAAATTCAGAGTTTTCAATTGATTGAAGAGAAAGATTCAGAGATATATATATACAAAGTAATTATTCACAGAAGTTATCAGATAAGAGTTATGAAATCAGAGTACTGATACATGATTATTTTCATATAATTTTCTTCAAATTAGAAAGTTAGTATTATCAAAAATCATTATCTAGTAGAGTAACTTATCAGCTCAGTAGTAATTTTCTGATTATTTTTCTTTTATTATCTGCATTCTGATAACTTCAGATATCAGAAAATTTCTTCAGAGTTATGATCAGTTTATGATAAATGTTTCTGAATAAAGTTGTAGTAATTATAGCAGAGAGATGACTCTTCAGTAATCTGCAATGCAATCTGTTGATAATTATTTCATAGATTATCTCAGTGTTTGTATTGAGTTTTTCATAAATTTCATGACCTGGAATCAGATGTGAAGAATGAAGTGATTATTTATTATAATTGAAAGAGAGCATTCTGTGTTGAATTGTAAATAATATAGACTTTGTAATTCACAGTGATTTCTTGAAGAGTTTGTGAATCTTCAATAGAAGTAAAAGAAGTGAAAGAAGTGAATTCAGAAGATATGATAATAATTTAAGAAAGATAATAATTTATTTTCAATAACTGATCACTGATGTGTGTAAGAAGAATTAATATAAGAGAAAATAATCTTATTTCTTAGCTTAGTTATAATTTTAGTACTAACTCAGATTGAATATCATTAATATATAAAAGTAAATAAACAATCTTGATTAATCTCTGTTATATTTCTTGAAATATATTAATATTATGAAAGAGAGTGTTATCAAATTATATTATCAGATAATATTATTAAAAATATATTAATATTGTGAATATCAATATTGAAAAAATGTTAATACTTATATATTATAGTAATTTGTGAATCATGATAGTTAAATATATATATATATATATATCATTCCTGACTTGATTACAACTTGTACAATAATTTTTGAAAACTTAAAATTAATTTTAATTATTAATAATTAAAAACTTAAACTTATAACTAACTAATATAAAAAGAAAAAAATCTACTTCTTCTCTTTCTTATTCTTCTTATCATTCTTTATAATTCACTTCTCATTCTTCTTCTTCTTCTTCTTCTTCTTCTTCTCCTTCTTCTCATCTGAGATAATAATCATCTCAAAATCTCTCTTCACTGTCTTCTCAGAGAAGGGTTTCTGCTGCTTCCTCTCAGCCAGGTCAATCTGTATCTCAAAATCCTGCATTTTCTGATCTGCTGTCTCAGGTTCCATCTCAGCAGTAAGCAGATTGACATGCTCAGAGAGTAGAGCTGTCTTCTCAATATTCTGAATCATGAAGTGCATTCAAGACCTGAATAAGATCTTAATTCTCTTCTTCTCTGTCAGCTTCTGCTAATCAATTAGAGAACAGAAGTATTATTAAAAATCATTATCTTTCAATAAATAAAAAACTTATCAGTTTTAACTTTTTTATCTTCTACTTTAACACTCTTTCAATCTTCTTCTGCTACTGCTTATTTACAGTAATACTCTTCTTCTCTCTTTCTCTCTTCATCTTAAACTTAAATCATTCTCAGAACTTCTTCTAGTCTTACTACTACTGTATAAGACTCTTCACTATCTTCTTCTTCAATCTCTTATAGATAGTGTTATCTGTATTATTTCTATACTTAGTTCAGTCTAAATCTATCAGAAGTGTTACTTAAAATTGTTATTATTCTGCTCTCTTATAAAGTCTCTTCAAGGTATTATAACATGCCTTGTAATCAGTCTTCTCTTACTTAAACATCTTCTTCTTCTCTCTCTTCAATCTGTGACAGTACTCACACGCCTTGATGATCTGCAGAACCACAGAATATTTAGAGAGAGATGACATAATTAATTTCAGTGAGTGTTAAAGAGAGATGAAGGCAGAAGAGATGACTAGAAATAATATAATAATAGTGATAATGATAATGATGATGATAATGATAATAATAATAATGATAGTAATGATATTGATAATGATAATGATGATAATAATAATAATGATGATAATAATAATAATGATGATAATGATGATGAAAGAGAGAGTGTATTGAAATATATTACTGACTTATCAAATATAAAGAGATAAAGAAAATATTAACAGCTTTCAGAGATATACAGAAACAGCTACAGTGTTACATAGTAATATTATCTTCATTCAATGCATACAGTGTTAATATTCTTTATATACAGTTATCATATAATCTATATCAGAGATACATGCAGAAAACAGATCTTTATTACTAGAGAGAATGAGTACAGTAATTCTCTATTTTCATATTATAAAGATAAGTTATTCTCATTTCTTTCTTCTCTCTTTTCTCTTCTTCTTCAATTCATCACTAAATTCAAGCTGATATGAAAACTATTAAAACACTTCTAGAAATTCTCAAATTGAAGAGTATAGACTAATTAAATTTTAAATACAGAAGAATTAAATTATATTTAATATTACTAATTATTCATTCTCTCTTAATAAAGTCATAGTTGTATCTTTCTTCTCTCTCTCTCAAATGAAACATGGCCTGTGAAAAGTGAGTATCATGCCAGGTCATAATAATTAACACAGCTTCAGCACACAGAGCTGTATACACACAGTGTATACTGAACTGAGAGACTGTGTGAATTATAAATCAGTGCCAGTATCTCAGAAAGAGCTGTGCAGTGTGAGAAAGCTGCAACTCTCAGTTATATATACAGAGAGTGAATTGTTATAGTAAGTGTATATACATTATATAAAAGTAATGCTTTTTAATAATACTCAGTCTCTGATATTATGAAAATAGAGTCTCTCTGTGAGATTCATTTTTATCAGAAGTCAGAGAATCTTATATTTCTTAAGATTATCTTCACCTGTCTTATTCATGAAATTAATGAGAGAAATCATTGATTTCAGCATTCTGTTCTTAATATCATTTAAGTGACAGCAGAGTTCATCCTGATCACACTTTTTAAGTATATATTTTCTAAATATTCACATTTATACAGATATATACTGATTATTTGTTAGATAATGTTAAGATAATAGCTCATTGTAACTGTGTTACTCTCACTGTAAAAAATACACAGTTAATAATGAATATTATAAAGACTCTGAGAAGTAAGTATTTTAAGAATACTGTGACTCTGTGATCTTGATTTTTTTTATTTTTATTTTTTATTTTTTTCTTTTTCTTTTCTTTTTTTTTTCTTTCTCTTTTTTTTTTTTTTTTCTTTCTCTTTTTTTTTTTTTTTTTTTTATTCATTCTGATTTTTTCTTGTTTTTATTTTGTTTTTTGTTTTTTGTTTTTTTTTTATATTTTATATTTTTTTCATAATTAAAATTATATGAATTATAATCTATATTCAGAAAAGTAATGATATTTAATAACACTCTCTGTTGAATTTTCAACAAATGAGTACTATATTATGATATTATATAAGTGAGAAGTGATTTCATAGTCTTATTTAATACCATTCTCAATAATGAGATCAGAATGAAAATGTGACTAAGAATTTAAATATATTCTTTATTCAGAACTAGATTTTTATTTGAAAAGTGAATCTGAGACCTTTAATATTTAAAATAATGTAATTTGAAATCAATGTAATGAATACAAACTATGATCAGAAGTAATACTTTTAGACAATGTAATAACTGTAAAGTTTGATTCTGGTCTCAGACACGGTCACACGGTCAGTCTAATAGAGACTATATTCTTAAAGAAGAGAGTATTATTATACTCTCAGCTATATCAAGATCTTATTACAGTTTCATATAACTTATTACTTTTATACAGATAATTTCATTCTATCTGCACTAGTTTTCAATCACTCTATAATATTATTCAGATATATTATAGAAAAATCTGATTAATAAATATAAGAATCTTACTTCTATATAAGATCAGCAGATTACTCTTTCTTAATAATAAGATATCACTGAGATATCACTTCAGCTATTCTCACTTATGAAATAAGAGAAGAGTATCTGCTTATTATCTATATAGAATAACTAGATACTGACTTCTTATTAAAGAGATCAGTGATTCATTTTTCTCTTACTAAAATATATACAAGAGTTACTATATATCTCATACAATCTTCTTAGTATACTAAGTATTATATCTGTGATATTTTCATAATAACTCTGTAGTCTACAAGCTTACTATTTAAGTAAGATAGTTAAGCTTACTTATACAGCTTTTCAAACAACTATCTTTACATAACATTACTAACTAGTCACCGCTTCGGTTCCGCGACATTACATGTATATACTGTGATTCTCAGCTGTTATAAACACATACAGATTCTTCACTTTATTCTCAATCATTAATTCTCAGCTGCTATAAATGTGTATAGATTCTTTCACTCTGAAGCCTCACTGTGTACACTATCACACATATATATAAATATTTATTTTAATCACTGATTCTCATACTTTCTCTTTCTTTTACTTCTCTAATATTTTTCTCTTTGTTATATAAGATCTATTAATATAATACTAATCTATTCAGTATAGACCTCTTATAAAATAAATCTTTAATTTTATTATAATTAATGAATTCAATACTATATTATCTGTACTAATACACTTTATCACTGTTATTAATCTGAAGAAGTATAATAACTATATAATCAAATTTATATCTCTAAAGATAGTTATAACTCACTATTTATATTCTTCTTCTTTTTAAAATTTAATTTCATTAAAGTTATAGATATCACAGTGAAAAAAATAATATTAATTAAAGATAGCTTTATATTAATTAAATTAGTTAATAATAAAGCTTATATTCTTATAAGATACTTATTTTAAATTTATAAACTTTTACTTAATTTATTTATAATCTGATAGATATTTAATAAATTAATATACTTATATCTTACTTACTGTGAGAGATACAGTCTCTGAATCTATATAATACTATCTTAATATATAATTCATAGCAGTTTTGATATACTTGATAATAAATAGATAAAAATTAATATTTAACTGATAAATTTATATCTTAATTATCTCTTTCTAACTGTCATTTAATACTTAATTCAGTGAAATTCTTATAGTTCTTGATTTCTTTCTGTTAATTCTCTTATATAAGATAATATATAAGACTTTGAATTCTTATGACAGAGATGTGATTTTTAATTTTGAATTACTTTTATATATATTAACAGCTCTTTGTAACTGCTTCTCAGTGTAATTAGAAGATTTAGACATGATTATAATTAATAATGATTATTTAAAGATGAAGAATAAAGATATTGAAAATATTTTCTGTATAATGTGATTTTCTATACACTGTGACACACTCACTGGAGAGAGTGAGTAAGTATGGCATGGTTACATTTTATCTTTCTACTGTGAATACTTCTAGTAGTTAACAGTACATATCATGCCAAGCTGCAAAAACCCGAATAATCGCCTGCGAGCACTTATTCTTACAGTTCAACTCTAATCACATTCACCTAGATGCCTCTCCCCACTCAAGTATATAACTCTTATTGAATATATATGAACTCCTGTTAATTTCCTGCACTGTCACAATGTTTTCAGGAGACATGGAACCAGCTTCACTCTTTGATTGATATTCACAGCTCTCTCAATGATGAATTTTGCCAGTGACACATGAACAAATGTGCTTCCTAGCATGAACATATCCCAGCTCCTGTCAGGCAGCATGCATTGGCAATAGCCATATATTTGGCCATACGATACCCCAGTTACCCCGCAGGAACCCCGGATTACAGGATATCCGGGGTGGAAATTCTCTGCAAGCATTCCGATTATTCTAGTTAACAGAATGCCTCATCCGGAGCTAAGTCCGCTCTCTTGCGGGATGCCGACATAAATACTACGAGTCCGGGAATTGTCGATCTTAGCGTCGTCCACATTTGAAATTTAGGATGCCTAAAGTTGTTGAGACGAAACAAAGGAGGAATCGTCATGTTCGAGATATAAAAGTGGTCAAATTCCTGGATGACTGTTTGAGTATACAAAGGAAACGCACTATTATCTGTCATCATGAAATTCTCCACCAGTGGTTTAGGGGCCATTCTCGCTCTGTCAGAAGCAGTTACTGCTGCAACTCCGGCAGAATGGCGTTCGCAATCGATATACTTCCTTCTCACGGACCGGTTTGCAAGAACTGATAGCTCTACAACTGCTCCATGCAACACCGAAGATCGAGTAAGCTACCAATTTTCTTACTTCCAAGGGCACAGTCCATTCTTCCTCCCAAATAACGGGTTGTCCAAGCTGACATTAACGTAGAGATACTGCGGTGGGACCTGGCATGGAATTATCAATAAGGTACACCCAGGAGCAGCTGTTGTTTCTGATAGCCACCTAGTCTGATACGTTTGAAAGCTTGATTACATCCAGAACATGGGGTTTTCTGCTATCTGGATTACCCCTGTGACAAAGCAGTTTCCCGAGAAATCTGGATATGGGGAAGCCTTCCACGGATATTGGCAACAAGATATGTAAGTCGCAATGTCTACATTTCCCTGGGAAGTGGCTTGTATTTGAAACATGGTTGTATGTGCTGCTTACATTGCTCTTTTCCTTTAGCTACAATGTGGAACCTCATTATGGATCTGCAGACGATCTCAGGGCATTAAGTGCGGCATTACATGATCGCGGCATGTATCTCATGGTCGACGTAGTTCCAAACCATATGGTACGCAAGAAAGCGCAACTCGAGCAATTGTCTACCCTGGTCTCACAGCTTCTTTAGGGTTATGCTGGTCCAAGTAGTAGTATGGACTATAGTCGATTCGTTCCGTTCAATAGCAAAGGCTATTTCCATGCTTATTGCCCTATCACTAACTACGACGATCAAGCTAATGTCGAAAACTGTTGGCTTGGGGATAATACAGTGTCGCTTCCGGATCTTGATACTGGGAATCCAGAGGTGCAAAACATCTTCAACAACTGGATATCCGCTCTTGTTTCCAATTATTCTAGTGAGTGACAGCGCTATTTAAATCATTTCCGCAGTTCAACACCCTACTCTGGGAACTAACAATTGTCGCAGTTGACGGCCTTCGAATTGATACAGTCAAGCATGTACCGAAGCCGTTCTGGCGGAAGTTCAATGATGCAGCAGGTGTATATTCCATGGGAGAAGTATATAGTGGTGACTCAGGGTACACCTGCCACTATCAGAATTATCTGGATGGGTTGGTGAACTTTCCAATGTACGATCACGGATATTTCTACTACCAAAGAAATATGGCGGGTTGGCTAAAATATTCGCAGTTATTACGCTCTCCTCGAAGTCTTCAAGTCTCCTGGCGGCAATATCGCAAATCTATACAACATGATCAACACAATGAAAGACAGCTGCGCAGACTCCACTCTGCTAGGAACGTTCGCTGAGAACCATGATACCCCAAGATTCGCAAGGTATGTGACGCCCAAACCTGCCCAGGGCACGCCTCCTCGGCCCTCAACATCTCTAACATCGGTTTACTATCAAAGTTATACCAAAGACATGTCTCTTGCCAAAAATGCCCTGGTCTTCACCATTCTTGCCGACGGGATTCCCATAGTCTACGCTGGCCAAGAGCAGCACTACGCGGGGAGGAAGGACCCAGACAACCGCGAAGCAACCTGGCTGTCGGGCTATAACACCGAAAGCCCTCTCTACCAGCTCACCGCCAAAGCCAATAAAATTCGGAAGAAGGCCATCGCAGACGATCCCAATTATCTTACGTATAAAGTAAGTGCCAATTGACATCCTTACTCATTGCCATACGACCACCCGCCCTGCTTGCTCCCTTCGTCCAACCGCCCCCACACATGTTCCCCTAAGCAGTAGTCTCAAATGACCTTCTATGATATAACAAATACAGAACTATCCCATCTACCAAGACAAAAGCACCATCGCGATGCGCAAAGGCTTCGACGGCAAACAAATTATCACCGTACTCTCTAACCTTGGCTCTGGCGGTGCTTCATACACGCTGCAGCTGGGTGGGACGGGGTATCCGGCCGGTATGCGTGTTACGGATATTTACACGTGCACGACTGCCGTGGTGGGTTCTAATGGGCAGGTACCAGTATCTATGGCTGCGGGAGAGCCGAGGATCCTGTATCCGAGTGAGAGGCTTGTTGAGAGCGGGATATGCGGGTGAGAGATTAATGGAAGTTGAAAGGAAGGAAACTTTACGTGGGAATGGGCTTTAAGAGGGGGTAGTGTATATCTGGAAGAAAGCTTCTCGGATTCCAGTCCGGTCTTAAGGGCTGAAATGCGTGTAAACGAGGAAGTAATAATCGATCCCATAAATAACTTTGCGTGCTGCGTACACTTAATCAACTGAGCCACACTTCACAGAAGAAAGAAGAAAGGTAGTATGCAACTGGAGCGAACTCAACGACATTTTACTCTTCTCTACCTTGACTGGGGTTGTGAGAAGGGCTTCTGGAAGTGCGAGAACTCTATTCACCAATCACAATGCAAATTTACCTCAATTATTGAATTGCTAGCAAGGTCTATCTAGATGGAATTTGATCTGCTCACGTCTCTCGAACATATTTCCTCGGGATGTCTAGACGCCTCCCCAATGCTTTCAGCAATGGATACAAATAGCAAGAAATAGTAGGCAAGAGTGGAAAACGACCCTGGATCATCTTTCGGCACCGCAGATCGATTTGAAGCATCCTTCCTGTCTTCATTTAGCCGTTGACTGTGTGTGGGGTGATCCTAAGAAAAGTAGTCGCATTTGCTCGTTTGTTCGATAATATGTACTTGATTTGATATTTTACTGGCTTCATTGAGTCAGTCAAATTTTTTTATATTTTTCATTTCATACCTATTTCGTAGCTAGTGTTGTTGGATTTCAAAGGAATTATCTGAAAAAAACGAGAACGTCTTAATTTTTATTTATTTTTCTTTTCTTTTTTGACATTTAAGCGGTTTGGAATATATTATAGTATCGTGCCAAACCTACACCGAGTAGCAGGAGGGAGAGGGAGAAGGGAGGAGTCAGTAAATTTGTCCACGAATGCTGAGATTTCGAAGGTGAGAACGAGGGTCGAGCACGGAAGACACTCAAGGTGTTGGCGGGTGAAATATGTATGAGAGTGGGGGAGAGGAGAAAACGTGAATAAATAATCTTAACAAAAAGAAAAGAAAAGAAAAGGGGGAAACGGAAAGGGAATTCGAACGCACCCAAATGTCTGCTTAATGCTCCGAACATAGTATCCCTCCCAGTTCCGCTTGACGACGTCCTCCTGTCCGACAGGAACGCCATCCCACTTCACGCGCATGTTGGTGACCCGGTCGACATCATTCTGATCAAAATTAATCTCTTGCGTGCTGTAGTGTCCCTCAGGCCACTGCGCAAGGCGCCATTTCTGCACAATTAAGATCGGAGACTCCAGCTTAACATATTCGCCGTCTACATTGCCGTCGAAAATCGAGAATTTACCGCCAACCTTTGCGCCGTCGAAGAGTTGAGGGGCAGCACGAGTGAAAGCGGCGATGCGCTGGGGGTCTGTGAAGGTCGTGTAGAGCTCTTCTGCGGTAGTGCGGAATTCGTCTACGGCGGTGACGCTGACAGTATTAACACTGGAGGTGCGTGTGGTTGTGGTGGTAGGAGTGGAAGTTCTTGGAGTTTGGGTGCTGCTCTGGGGGACATGATTTGGTGTCGCAAAGCCGCTGGAAGGTTTGGAGCCGGGGGCATGTTGAATATCCTTTCCATGCTCAGCAATCAGAGCAGGGGCTAATTTTGCCAACTCCTTGCGGATTTCAGGGACGAGTTTCGAGCGGACAAGGTCTTTCACCGGCTGCTTCGACGCAGATTCGGAGTAGATGCCAATTTCAAACTATTCCAAAAAATTTCACATCGTGTTATAAACGAGATCTTCACGCTACAGCTAGAAATGAAAAAGCATCAAGGGTCTAACTAGGGAACGTACGACATACTCGTCTTCCTCGGTATCGTGCGCAACCTCGGGGACATTGATTGAACCGCTGACTTCTTCGTCGTCACTTGTCTTACCTAAGAACAGCCTTATCTCAGCTCAGGTTCCAGCCGCATAGAGAGCAATGCTGTTGGCGAAAGAGGCATTCTAACCTTCATATTCTAATTGTAATTTAACATCAAATAATGTGATAACCTTGCCCTTCCGCTGGCTGACGTCTACGTCGCCATCGAGGCTAACGACCTTCTTTATCTGAGCAGTCACTCCATTTTCCTCTGCAGAGATGGTAGTAAGAGTCTTTTCCAGATATTCCTTGGTCCAAGCAGAAGCATCCTTGTTCACCCAGTGCCAGTTGTTAGGATTGTGGAGCACCATTTTATTCTATTAATTTTCGGCAGCAAGTCGAAATTTGTTTTTTATGTCTCTACTAATGGGCTATTCTGATCTGAGGAGCGGAGTGCAATAGATGTCGGTTGGGAATGGCTCTTTTTAGCTGTAGGATTCTGGTGGAAAGAAGGAATGTTAGTTTAGCAAAAGAAAAAAAAATTCAATCCAACTCCACAAAAATAAACCACACAAAAGAACAAAAATTGCGGGAGAAATTAAAATATCAGAAACAAGGCTATACAAGCCATTGCAAAAGCTAGTCCGCAGCAAACAGAGTACAAGTCTTTCTAGGACTGGTGCCAGCTATGAAGTCTCATCATGAAAGGAACGGTTGGTAATATTAGAGAAAATCGGAGCCGGAATACTCACAGTTGAGATGGAATCAGTTGATCGGTTGAACTCGGCCGGGGAGTAGATCAATACAACAAACAACAGTGAACATGAAACTGAAGCGTGAACAGAGAGGGTTGTACTGAAGAGGAGTTGGTGTGTTGGAGGTTTTTATGTGTGGTCGGGAATTTCTCACCTGCAACTTTTGGAAAGCTCTAGAAAGACAGGAAAGAACCGAAAATTTGGGGAAGCTAGATTATATAATACTTGGCACGTGATGTATTTCTTGGCATCTATCCGAATGAGGGTGGGGAAAAGTAGGGGTGAAGTATATATAGGGCGCAAGGTATATATATATACATTGAAGAAAACATAATTCATGAAAGCATCGAACATAAAACGAGGGTTGGGTATCTTTGCGATCAAAACGGATTAGAAAAGCCAATCGTACTACAGAGGAAAACATGTTCACCCTGAACCTTCAAAAGAGCAAAACAATCGCAAATCAAACAAGGGTCTCAAAACAAAGTATAGATAGATAGCAAATCGATCCTTTTTAAGATTGTTCAAACATTGTATCATCCCATCCGCCCTGGTTCACAAGATCCTGCTGCACACGCGTCTTCACATGACTCATCTCCTTTCCAAGAGCCTCAGCCCATTGCTCCTCGACCATTGTCACCTTATCCTTCAGATCAGCCGTCAACCTCTTCTCTTCTTCCTCGCTCGATTCCGTCATTTCCCGCTGTACACTCTCCAACGGCTCGCCCGATATTATACGTTGGACTTCCATAACGTTGCAATTCGCCGTCATGAGGCTAGTTTTTACTTCATGTAATAGGCAAAGTAGGTTGGTTTGCGACTCGATGATTTGATATGTCGATTTTTCAGCGTGAGAGAGAAGGGAGTAGAGATATTGTAGAGGGAACTGGTAATAGCTGGGGTTCTCTGCGTACTCTTTCGAAGGTATCTGGATAGAAAACGATCGAAGGTCCTCGGGGATTTTTTGGAGGACCGTCACCAGGGACGGTGCAATGTCCCAGAAGGCTGAAAGCTGGGTTTCCACACCTCTGCCAACATTTTGTTCAATGACTTCCATGAAACTTTCAAAGCGCCGTAGTGTTTCCGTGGCGAACGTCAGTTTCCGGTTTTGCGCATCCTGCGAGAAAAAAGAGGCTGTCTCCTGAAGTTTCTCTTCGTTTTTGGTCTGTTTATATGGCAAGGTGACGATTGCTCGATATCGCTCGTTGCGTTCACTCTCGAGGTTATAAACCTCCCGATGTAGCTGTTCAAGTGCCTCAAACAGCCACTTGAGCTGTGTCAGCTTCTCCAGCAGCTCTGGTCGTTCATCGCCTTCTTCCTGCGTTTGATTGGGGGTCCCATTTTGGGTGGAATCGAACAGCTTGCTTCGGAGGCTGTCAATACAGGTGGTCGTGATGTCGATCCGGTCTGTGAGTATGCGCTGTAAAGGCTGGAACACTACCTCTTCGTAAGAGTCGAATTCGGCTTTAACTAACTCCTTTTCGCATTTCTGCTCTTTGACAAGATGGACTGCCTCAGCCTCTGCGGCTTCTGCATAAGATAGCGTCCCTTGCTCTATGCGGGTATTCATGTCTGACCTAAATGCGCGTCGAGATTCCTTCATTTTTATTTGATGTTCATGCTGAAGTTTTTGTAGTTTTATCTGGTGCGCCTGTTTTGTTTCCTGGACTTCCGTGAGGTCACTGACAGACCGCACTGTACTCCGGTAATACAGGAGATCAGGATGTTTGTTATTAACTGCAGGGTAGTGCCTAGGGTACGGCGGTGGAAGGGTAATGAATCTCGAGATATCCAACGCCGGTAACTGGCGATCAATATGAGACGCGATCGCTGGCGCTCGAGGTACAGAAGGATGCCGTTCTAAGCCCACTTTCTCGGGAGGATATTCGTTTGGCGCATACGTAGCGGCAAAGCCAAAGGCAGGAGGGTGAGCGTGGGATTGATTGCCGTCGATTAGCCCAGTAGAAAAATGTTCCTGTTGCATTGCTTCACGCACTTCCCGAGGCACACCCATGTACTTTGATTCCTGTTTAGACCGTCGGATCTTTTTCCCGGAGCCTCCACTTTCAGACCCAGTTTGTGACTCCCACCAGCGGCTTGGAGCTCTCCCTCTAGAACTAATTTCATCCTCTCTTACACTAATGCTGCCTATCGGAGATAGGGATGGCTTGTAATTACTCCACCATCCTGATTCCACACGCGTTTGTGGAAGCACAGGTGAAAAGCGAACTGGCGGGGCTACCCGAGTACTGATACCAGCCGATGGGGAATCCTTTGTATGGACGCCGTTGCGAGGGCTAGAATCTGGTTGGAAAAGCCTATCTCTAACCCTTTGTACATCAAATAAACCGGCTTCACAAGTACTTGCATGGCGTTCTTGTCGTATTTTAGACTCAGATACGATGAAATTAGCAAAGAGTTCCAAGGCTTCAACCGCGGTGGATGCGGAAGCTTCTTTTTCTATAAAATCACGATGCCGCTGGATAGCATCACGCATGAATTCGTCATTTGCATATTCCATCAGCCTACTAGACCGTGATAGGCGGGATGAAGGCCTACTTTGACCCAGCGGAGTGTGTCCCTGCTCAGCAGAGCTGCTTGTTACCGTAGAACTACTCCGTTCCTGTATGGCTTGAAGTGGTGGTGTTGGCAGCGCCCTCGGTGGCATATTTGGAGTGGTGACTGATGCATGCAAAGTTGGCGATTGAACGTCACCGCCAGGAGAAAAGGGAGGGGTTTGTGCATAGTTGCTGGGTTGGGTGAGGAGGGTTTCAAGTGATGGTGTCGGTTGTTGCCTTGGAGTTGACTGAGCAGAACTGGCTGATGTTAAGAGGGGGAACGGAGACTTCACTGTGGATGCAGTAAGTTGGCCATCTGACTGGGCAGTTCGTGGGGTCCGGGGTGCATTCTTCGTTACGGTGCGACGACGCATAAGTCCACGACCCCCCGGGTTCCCAAGGACCAGGTCACGAGGCCAAGTAGAGTCCGATAGGTCGTGACTTGTGTTACGAGGGCCAGCATTTTCTATGGTAGAAGCATGCTCTTTTCTGGCCTCAATTCTACGCTCTCTAATGCCCTTTGAGCTAACGGCCCTCGTTCCCGGAGCTTCGTTTCTATGATGTATGGCTGATTGCGGTCCGCGGTTGTATTGAGTCAAGCGAGCCAATTCATCCACCGGCACATAATCATTTGTATTTTGAGACATCGAACTAACGCGCTCTCTAGAACTTTCGGACCGCCCGCCGGCAACAACGTTCTCATCAACCCATCCAGCTGGTGTAGGTGGTACTTCTCCAAGGCCGGTTCCCAATACCGGTGGTGATCTATGTCGACTTGACCGGTTTGAGCCATCTTGGGAATGACCTCGTGACGATTCTCTTGATTGGTTCCAAGTACCATTAGGTGGTGGTCCAGGGGGTGGAGGCGGGAGTGGCATCCCTGGCTCCCAACGACCGCGCTGTCGATTAAGCCATGCTTGTGCCGCATTACCATTTCGATTTTGCCCTATATCTCCCGTAGAAGCTGCTCTTATCGATGCTGGAGGGCGTATAGCTTCATTCCCAGAGCCATTGTCATGCGGCAATCCCGAAGATGAAGATCCCAAGCTAGAAATGCCACCACCCGTATTGAACGGGGGATTGCCCTGGCCACTCTGTCCTATATAATGTGAAGGGTGGGCACCCGCATTCGGGACACTTGGTTGTAGGTTATCACTAAGCATGACATCAGAACTATGAATCATCGATACAGGCCTGGGTCGAGATCCAGGGTAGCGATATCCGGAAGCTGGCTCCTGAATTCTCGCGGGGGCTGGCGAATTGTACTGAGCTGCAGTTGCCAGTGGAGAAACACCCGCGCCCACGGTTAGTCTAGGGGAAACATCAGCGCGTGTCTCTTCCGGCTTTGGGTGTCTCGGGGAGTACGGAGGGGGAGGTATGGACGTGGCATCTACATCGGAATATTTATTAGTCTCCCGCTTCTAGCGATATCACTCATCATCTCAAAAACTAATCCATCGCACCCAGCGGACAAGGAATAGGGAATTAGAGATGAGAATAAGAGCGATAATACCATTCTGGGGAGCAAACGCGCTCACCCCCGCAGCTGGGGAGCTATTTGCTGTGATAGGACCCCATTCCTGGGGGTTATAGGCTGCGTTGTAAGAGACATGCCTTGATGACATTGGGGTGGTAATCGCACTCATTTCACCCGATGAGGGAGTGAACGACGACCTCATTGGAGAAAATGGACTAGAAAAGGAGTTCATTGAGCTCGGAGTCGGTGCGTAACTTGGACTGGCAGGAAACCCAGCGCCCTGGAACTGGACACCGCTCAAGGATGTAGTAAGAGAAGGTGGCTGTGCAACATTCTCCCGACGGCGGGGAAAGACCTGCGCGCCAGAGAGGGGCGGAGCGGAAGGAGGGACAATTAGTCGAGGAGGATTCCGCTGCGGGTCTGACCCTCCCGTCCTAGAGTCTGACCAGCTGGTAGTAGAGAACCCACGATCAGTCTACGCCCCTTACACCAGCACCGAGGGAGACAAGAGCACCAGAGATATGTATCTGAGACAGTACAAAAGGAATGAGAAGAGGACATGCTCACCTATTCATATCCACGAGTACAGCCGGAGGCGGCCCTGGCCAGGTTAGCAGCCACCCAAAGCATCAGCCCAGGCATAGAAAGTTAATAATAGTTAATATTAATAAGACGATACCAAGCAACCGTCACAAAACTAGAAAATTTCAAGCACGAGAAGCAGTGTCGACAAGCGTAGCCAGATCGTTCATTGGTGTTCAGGGAGGATAATCTCACGGGAAGGCCATTCAGACAAGCGGAAATCACCAAATCCACTTGGGAAAAAGTCACGTCCAGCCGTCACCACCGCGTGAGTTATTTTTATTCTCTGCAGCCAAAGTCCACGCTAGGGGAGATTGAGCTGGAAGGCTGCCTTTGAGTGGCCAGTTCCCAGTCTCTGGATCTTGAATTTAGAAATCCCAGACCGTTTTGGGCTGCCGAGAGGCCAAGAAGCCAAAGAGAGGGCTAGGATTGTCCACTCTGAGGTTTCCTCTTCTGGAGGCCCTGGGAAGGGTATGACCTGTTTCGAAAATTGCTTGAACAGAGAAATGGCTGGGCGATCTCAGCCTCTTAGCGTGGCGGTTGGGCTTTCTGTGCCCAGTGTGCTAACTTGATGATTTGGCCCTTAGCAAGGGGGTGATCAAATGGTTGGAGGCGGATCCTTGCCTGGGTTGCAGGACGCCATTGCACACATTCCCAGCCACGCAAAACCGGGCGCTTATGGAATATGTTGATTTGCCAGTTCAAGTTGACAGAACAGGCAGCATCCGTTGTGGTTGGCCGGTTTGCTAGGCTCGATGCACAAAGGTTGGCCCCAATCCCGAAATAGCAGCTTTTTCAATATGCAACACAACACTACACTGCTCAGTGCTGGCAGACATGCAAAATACAGGGTCGCCCATGCTCAACCCAGGATCAACAGACCAACTGGTAACTACGAGTATTCCCAGCACGGAGGTGGAGGGAGCGGTTCACTTGTTGGCAGACGTCAAGGGATGTGGTCGGTTGGTGCTCTGGCCACGAGCTGCAAGCGGCTTGAGCGAGAGGGTATTGGTAGTTATGGTATAGCACGGCAGCCTGTACTCTGTACGGTACGGCGCAGGTATTATTATATAATATTATGATTTCCATGATTTCCATGATTTCCACCGCTTCCCCAACTCCAATACAATTATTAATGCTGGGGGGGGCTAGCCGGAGCGTAATTTTGGAAACCCTTTGTTTTAGCAATCAATAATGAACAAGATGGAAGAACTTTGCGGGATTCTATTTATAGCTACGCGCCCTTGGCCGGGATGCCAGGAAACCTCGGCCTCGGTATCTGCAGACTTACGAGTCACAATGCGCGGGGTAGTATCAAATGTGCGAGGAAGACTCGGGGAAAGGCCAAAATAATTGAAAAACTATATGAGAAAACGTCTCCGATCTGATAAAAATCTATCTGGGGGAATCGTACGTCTGTAAGTCTGCTAAAAACATTGCAGAGATTCTCTCACTGTATTCCTGGCATTTCAAGGATCATGGAGGGTACTGGTACTTTGCTACTCCGTAGTCGAGGGCGAAATGAGATTGCCGTTTATATCACATATCGTTGGTAGTGGACTCTAAGCTGCAAATGGCTTTGCCTTTAAGTCATCTACGTTACTCTGCCCTTGGTTGGTATGTGGGTTCAAGCCAATATGAGAAGAGAACTGGTTTACTCCGTACTTCGAACATCGTGGATGAAGGCTGCCGTCTTCGGCACAATCGTCGCGTTTCAGCGATTCGATAATGCAGCAAGAAGAAGTGAAAGAAAGCTTCAGGGTTCAAGGTTGGGCTTTAAGTCCTGCTAAGCTGACATGAGATATAACTAATCTAATAATTCCAAGTTCTATAACTAGTGGCTGCATGCGGCACGCTTGTCCAGGCATGAAATTGTCTCAACGCCCACAGAAACCGCCATCAACCTAACTCCCAGTTAGTAGAATCCATAGTCAGAGGGTGATATCCCCCCTTATCAAAAAGAAACATACCGTCAAAATCTCTCCGCTGACATAGGAACTAGCTTCACTAGCCAGAAAGACAACAGGGCCCTTCAGATCTTCTGGTTTCCCCCAGTGCCCTGCAGGAATCCTGTCTGTGATGCTCTTTAGATACGCTGGGTCGCCAGTTACTGTGTCCCGATTCATGTCTGTTGCAATGTAGCTATCAGGATACACAAAAGTCGAGATCTTCATCAGTGAAGGAGCGATAGAAGGAGGCATAAAACAGTACATAAAATCAACGCATTCAAGTAGGGAAACGAATGGCCAAATATATCTTACCCTGGCGCGATTGCATTTACATTAATCCCCTTCGAAGCCCACTCATTACTCAACGCCTTCGTCAACTGTCCTATGCCCCCTTTGCTCATCGAGTACGCTAGTACTTTCACGCCCCCAAAGAACGTGCACACGCTGGCCACATTAATAATCTTGCAACCGCGCATGTTATTTTCGATCCAATATTTGCCCATATCCCTACAGAGTGTAAACGGCGCATTGAGATTAACCTGCATGACCTCTTCATATGCCTCCTGCGGGAAGTTTTCGGCTTCGCACCGGCGCTGAATCCCCGCCGCGTTGACAAGGATATTGATAGCTTTGTGCTCGGCGGTAACTGCTGGAATGAGACGAGCTACAGCGGCTTTATCGGCCAGGTTGCACTGGTAGCTGTGGCATTTCCGGCCTGTTTTCTCGATGGCTGCTCTTGTGGTCGTGTCTGGAGAAGAGCCCTGTGGGTGGTTTGCTTGTCAAAATTGTCATTTCAGTTTTTAAATCGAAGTAATCTCATGCCAGCGACGTCTCTTGCGTACCCTAATTAGGATAACGTCTGCTCCCGCCTCCGCCAGGGCAATCGCCATAGCCTGGCCAATCCCTCTTGTGGCGCCTGTCACCAGTGCTGTCTTCCCTGTAAGATCGAAAAGGGAGGCCGCCATTCTTTTAGAAATCCTATCTGAGAACTATGCGTAAAGCGTGACCCTCAAGTCATATATCCGTCCCAATATTGGGTGAACGCCAGGGTATTGTTTTAAACGGCTTTTGGTCGCACAACAACTCATCTGCAGACGCTAGTTATTTATTTGTCGCAACTTGCGTGAGGACTTATTTATGTCCGGACACTATCAAAATGTGGGGTTGGAATACGAAGTATAGTTACATGTGGCAACTAACAACCATGACTAGCCAGATATATACCGGTCCACTGTAAAGAATTTATTAAAAAGGACGCATCCTCATCTTGCAAGAGCCTTGTTATTTACATACAAGGGATGTTGTATCGAAAAATTAATTAAAAATGTTTGTATTTATTTCTTACGGGGGTAACAACCCAGGAGCTGGTCGGATTGATTAGAGTTAGGCCTCTGATTTCGTGCCAGTTCCAGGAATTTCCTCAATACGTCCAGTCCTCAGCATCCAGAGTTCGGGGCCCAATTGGCCTAATCGCTTTCATGCTATGTAAGTCGACTAGAACGAGCTGGTTCCATTCCTCATCTACACTCGATTCACCAGAACCCTCGCTCTCGCCTCTAACGTTGATTATTGCCAAGTTAGCATCCAAGTAGCCACCTAGATTCGTCTCGATATAGCAAGCGTCCTGGTCGAATTCGTCTACCCCAATTGCGCCCAGAGTTTGTCCATCGCGGAGGGAATGGAGAACAGCACGGTTGTGCATCTCATCAACGCTCACACATCGTGCCCCATCAAGAGAGAGGTCAAGTAAGCGGTGGCCTTCGCACCAATGACATTATAGTTGGATAGATTCAGCCTCGTCCAAATAGAACATGTATAGCGGTGATCCATCTTGAACCTCTCCAACATCCAGAAGCACAAATGGGTTATTTGGATGGGCAACAAATCGCGCCCCATGTCCCGTGCTTCCCAAATCCACCTGAGAGATGACGGAGCCTATAGACGCATTGATAGCAAGAAGCTTGTCGGTATGATTCCCCCCCCCCCAAAATTCCGCAGTCCGGTTTATAGAGCCATAGCACCCTCCCGTCAAAAGAGAATTCCGCTTCTGCTATGTAACGCATGTATCCTTCAGGCCCATTTGCAAACTGGTAATGCCACATCACCTCGCCTCGTCGATTGATGCATCGGAGGGTAGACGGAGTAACGTACGCCGCAAGCATCCGGTCATGACTTGTAGCAGAAGATTCCGGGCGGCCTGAGACGCGGAGCTGAATATCTGGGTCGCCCAGCACGCCAGGCAGCGACCTATTTGTAAATGTGTAGACCGAAATTTCGCCGTCTTTCGAGGAGACCAGATCACGCAACATTGGAGGAGAGGTGGACGAAGATGACCCCTCAGAGTTTGCTGCTTTTGAGGGTTTCAAGCGGGGGTTTCTACGAAGCTGCTGGGTTAAGCGCAGGCCGGTCAGGTCAGTCAGTCACTTAAAACTTTAATTGGCTATGTTGTATTCTCCTCGTACATTACAATTGAAAAATTATGCCAGCTCCACCAATAGTACAACTGTGCAGGGTGGTCATTGTGGCATACTGTGGAATATGTAAGTGTTTTTGCTGTGACATTTTACATCCTCCTGTTGTTACTTAACCTACGACCAAACACTCTGTTTATATTGGTTAGAACGTGAATAAGGTCTTTAGGTTATTTGATCAGTAGTAAAGCTGTTAGAACCTTATTAACCCTTTAGCAGTTGATTGAGGGAAGATGAATGTACCTTCATTTAACTTGAATGAGCTGATTAATGGTAATTCAGCAGACTCATGTCACATCTATCTCCAGTTAGCATTTTCACAAGCGAGCGTGCTGGTTTGATAGCTAGGTTTTTAATCATATGTATACTTAGAAGAAGGATATCTATATAATCTGTGAGACGAAATAAACCTCTTGCATTTTGAGGTTATGGCATGTGCCTCAAGTGCGACTGAAGAATAAATGGTTGCCGCCTTACCTTGTTTTCTGATTCTGTCTGGTTGTTTCTTTGATGGAGATTAGTGGGCGACAATGTTGACCTTAGAATCAGCCCCGTGGAGCAACTTGCAGCCACAAAGCAAGCCAAGTCAACAAAACCAGCTGGAGATCAAGACTTTATCTAAAATGTCACGTTGGGTATGGTACAAGACAGAGCTAAAGAGAAATATGTACGAAGTGTGGATGAAGCCAAAGATGTAAGAAAATTATTACAGCCAGCTGCACATAAACAGTACGGAGAGATAAACCCTGCCTAATCTACCGGCTCCTCTTCTAGGAGGGTCTTGAAGCTAAATGCTAGGAACGGTATTCCATCACCAATGAAATGTTTGCTCATGGCCTCGACCCAGTGCAACCTAAGGGAATGTAGCATAGCGCTAGTGCCCTCCATAACGCAAAGAATCGCAAAAGTCAAAGTGAACCACATGTAAAAGGTGACAATGATCATGATCACTCTCATGACGTTAGAGTTCTGTGCGAAAGCGCCACCAATCGTCATAGTCCACAAGACTACAGAAAGCTGTTGATGGGCGAGGGAGAGGGCCCATAGTCGGAGGTACGATGCGGTATGTGAAACGCAGTTGAGACAGAACTCTAAAAGGAAGAGCAACGTTAACGACCCGATGAAAATGTCTAGGGTGGATGATGCCGAAGATACAATATTACTTACCGATAGTATGAATGACTTGGTGAATCATCTCCTCAGAAAACTCAAATTCCTCTTGCTCCTCCTCTCCTATGCCTTGGGTAATCATCGCCATACCGTCCGCATCACTGGCCAGGCTGTTCCGCCCGTCACCAGAAACACGACTGTCCTCATTCTCCTCACCATCCAGGGCACTCACACGAGCAGTTTCTCCGAGGCCTCTATATCCAAGTGCACGGGCACGATTATGCTCCCATCGAAGGTAAAATGGTTTCAAAAAGAGAAGGATCGGAATCTGAATCACAGCAATAAGAAGAAGAATGACTTGCACAGCTGCTTGCCCTGGGTATAATTGTTCCTCAACAGTGCCGGGTTTGAGGAACATGAAAATGAGCATATTTAACAAGCCAGGGGGCTGCTGGCCACGAGCGTTCCAGTCCACACACCACTTGTATATTATGGTGAAAGACAAATAGCCAAAAATAGACTGGAAGAAAATCATTCCGGGGACGAAATTACCCCAAATTTCTATGGGTCTTTTGAAATGGCGGCCGTTGATATAGGATAGGCACAGGGAATATGTCATGTGCGACCAACCCAGGAGGATACTCAACTTCATTTTGAAGCTGTTGGCGAAAAGTAGGTCGTTCTCGGTTCCATGCCACGCCCAGTCAAGGCCAAAAGGATATCTATAACTGCCTTTGAGGTCAGCGGTGACAGTGTCGCCTTGGTTAAAATGTTCCGGCCACTTCCACGCGCTTGGAAAGATTTCCATGGACCTGGAGAAGATATCATTGTATATCAAACCAGTGTACATCGAGAAGACACCCATCATAAGCATGATGTATCGACCATAGAAAGCCATACCCATGAGCTCATCCAACTTCGTTTTCAGCAATTTTCTTTCGAAAAGAATCATGCCAGTAGCAACCATCGTCATGAGCATCCCGTGACCGAAATCACCAAACATAACCGCAAAGAGGAACGGGAACGTGATGATCGTAGGAAGACCGGGGTTGACCTCTCCATATTTAGCCGTCCCGTAGGCGTTGATGATAACTTGGAAACCCTCTGTGAATCTGTTTGTTTTGATATAGGTCGGAGGAGTCTTATTGGTCCGAATCTGGTTGACAATTGTGGGCACAGACAACCCGGCACGATCGTTGACGTCCTGCAACGTTGTCTTGATAAGTGGAAGAGAATTAGTAGGGCACCAAGCTTCAGCAATAAGCGTCTTCCTAGCTTGATCGTAGGAAAACTTGTTGAGTGTGTGATAGGTTGCCTTCTCCTTCTTGACAATGATCATCCAAGCAGCAAGGGAGCGCGCAATCTGAGTTAATTCGGCATCCAATGTGTTTTTCGTATTACGCAGAAAACTGCCCACATCGCCTAGTCTAGTATTAACCTCGTGAATCTGATCTCGCCGAAGTTCGCTGTTTTCATCCACATTGTACAAGTTGGCTCCAAGGGACTCGGAAATTTTCCTGATCTTTGCAATTATTTCTTTTCCGTGGGCAAATATCACAAAGACGTTCTTGTGAATTTCTTCGTTATTGGACGGATCTATTATAGCCTCTGGGATTTCCGATTGGTTCATGTAGAGGTTTCCACGCAGAGTGCGCCACAGAATTCGCTCAAACGCCGCGATTCGATCTCTCGAAATAACACCGGCGACAAAGCCAATATTCATCACTGAGAAGGCCTGTTGATTTTCAAGATCACCGTTCTGGCCTCTTGTGGGTTGCTGCTCGGCGTCTCGAAGAAGGGGAGCCTCGTCGTTCTCAAACGACTGGCGGATCTCTTCCGTGTGACCGTGGGCCTAGTACGGGGTTAACCGCCATAACCGGAAGTAATATCATGAAATAAGTTAAGAAAGGAACGAACCCGATCAAAAAATCCACCAGCCTCCCTCAAGACCCATCGCCATTCGACTAGTTCAATTTCCCGTTTCCGCAAGGTTTCATAGCTCTCGTTCAGCGACGCGACTCGTTGCTCGAGACTCTCACTTCGATCAGCCAGTTCGTCGATTTCAGAGGCCATGGGGGCAGCTAAAGTGTTAGAAAACTCGGAGGATGGCCTCATCGGGATTCCTGCCTTTTCGAGCTGGGAGTGAAAGTATCCTACAACAATCCAACCAAAGTCAGCACGGTATGTTTCACGCATCTTCCGAGCATAGGACGTACGCAGTTGCCTCTCGACGTTATCGAGTCTCCGGATCTCGTTCGTAAATGTCCGCTGGAATGCAGTGGTATCAGGGTTTAACTATAGCAAGGAGTTCCAAGGTCAGCTACAAGTCAGCATTCAGAAACTCTCAGCATCCGGAATCGACCCACATCACGAAACTGGACCTGCCCAATTTCGCCCAAGGCACTGACGACCTCCCGACCGATTTCGTTCGCGATATATAGCTGGGTAAGGCTCATGTCCGCCGAGCGGAAGAGCGTATCTTGAGGAACCCCCATAATGGTAGAAGTTGCCTGGGGTCGGCTATCTCACCAATCCAGAAAAACCGCACTCAAGGTAAAAAAAAAAAAAAAATAGCAGCAGGACAATATCTCTTGAAAGGAAAGAGAAGAAAAGAATGAAGGGCAGACGCGACCAACCCAAGCGGTCCAAGCAACTCCGAAGATGTCTACATGTCACGTGATTCACCTCGTAATCCATGGATCCAGAAGGCCAAGAGTCATGCCAAGGAAATGCATGACGACTAAGCTCATTGTAGAAAACAGTAAAATATTCTTCCCCAAGCACCATTATTGTCAGATTAAATCACTAGAGAGGACCTAGTGGTGAAATTAATGAGGGTGGCGTATACATCTAGTATAGACAAATAGATACCCAAAGGGAGGTTTTGAAAACAAGCAATAATATGCGTAGAAAGTATCGGAATGATCAAGGCCCAGCGAATCTCTAATTCCCGATCCAACCATAATGTAATATCATATATCAATTCTCAAACGCCAAACCGTGTTAAAAGGGTAAAGTGAATGTCCAGTATTTTCCAACGGTACGTTGAATTAAATAAAAGGAACCAGGTCTGGAATTACTACACAGGGATTCATGCGCAACTCTCACTATAGAGCTTAGGCAAAATAGCTCTTCCATAGGACACCCGCAAGGTCTTCGACTTGGTCTGGTTCGAAAGCCTGATTAAGAATTGTTAGCCAGTTATTGAATTCTTTCAAAGGTCAGCTGAGCAGGATTAACTTACCTTGACATCGATATGCCAGGTGTCTTGCCTCGTTTTCTTGAACTCACTGATGATAGACTTCACACCCTGCCCAACGATTCCTGGATCACCTGCGGCTTTGTTGCTCAGGGTGATTAAAACCCCCGGCATCCACTGTGGCGGAGGACTAGCGTAGGGGAAAGCTTGTATGAGGGCCCCTAATCCAAGGACTGCCGCATGCCTTGTGAGAACAAGCCGGGTATGCTCAGGGTTAGGAGTGCTCGCGCCAGTGGAAACACCTGAAGACACACCGGAGCCAATACGACGAGGTTTCTTCGGGAGTGGATTGTCGACAAGTGCTTTTGTGAACCGGTCGCGTAATTTGAGTACCATATCGGTGCGTAATCGCGCGGGAGAGCAGCGGATCATGCCAGAAAGCGTTGCAGAAGCGCCAGACCGGACTTCAGGTTGAGTATCCTCGAGCATGCAGGCAATGCAATCGAAAAGCTTGTCACGGTCAGCTTTTGGCAACAGGAAAAGACGGCGGAAATACATGATTTGGATGTTAATCATGACGCGAAGACGTTGATGCCACGAAGGAGACGTAAGGCCGATACGTGTCAAAGCTTCCACGAACTCGGAATCATCTCCAGAAGGATGAGGAACATTCGAAAGGTGGCGGAAGACATGGTATGCGAGCCTCTGTAATTCCTGATCCTCTTTGACGTCCATCATATGCAAAAGTTCTTCCGTAAAAGTGCCTGGAAAGAACTGGAGAAGCTGAGTGCATTCGTGTGATGACAATGTGGAATCTAGCCAGAGAAGAACGGTTTTGCTTCCCGAAGTATATGAAGATGGAGTTTGCTGGCCAGGAGATCTTTCATGGCGCCATTTTTCCAGCCGGTTGAATATATCGACCACTGTGTCTGCAAATTCCTTGGTGGGCTTGTATGGATGGCTGCCAATGGATGAGGCTTCTTTTTGCGCCTGAATCAGCTGGTCTATATCAGCATATGACTCGTGATACCTAGTTCGGTATATCGCTCCCAGGGTATGACCCATCGCTTCACGAACTCCTTTATAAGGATGATCAAGATGGGCAAGGAAATCAGCAACAATCGACTTCTCTAATTGGAAGTGCCAACCGAAGTCCAGGATGCATTGATGAAGTAAGTTGATTTTCGAGCTTTCCTTAAACGCCGCATTTGAGTTCATATCTAGTCGGAAGCTAGTCAACCAATCCACGAGAGGCCATAGGCGACGCGGATCTCTACATTGCATTACCATATGCAAAAAGGTTGTCCAATATCCGGAATTTTCTGGGGTAAGACCATCTGAAAATATTTGGCGAACAATCGGAAAAGCGTATTCCCATACTAGAGTTCGTTTGTCCACGCTCGTATCTGTGACAGAGCCGATAAGAGCTCCCAGTATTTCTGCAGTTGCACGATGCTGATGCTTATCACTTCCATCTTCAAAAACAAGGGCGATCTCCTCTTTGATCTCCTCAAACGTCGCGGCTGTTAGCTCATCTCTCAACATGAGCTCGAACACATAGAGTAGGGTCATGGCGCTTGACATGCGAAATTTATCCGCGTAGGCATCCCTTGGTTCCTGCTTCAAATATTTGAAGAACGTGCTAAACCACTCGCGAGTACATAGTTTCCCCATTTGTTTGCGAACATTCCATTCAAGCTCGTCGTACTCGATATCCTGCTTGACATTGGATCTATAGGCTGGCATAGTCTTTCCCCAAACAAGCCAGCCAGGATAATCATGGTCGACATAGTATTCCGCCTCGGGTTTAGCAAAACTTGCAAGGTATTCTTCGGTCCAACCCCTCTTATATGGTTGAGTGGGGACTTGGATTTTGGCAGGGAAACGTTGAACACCCATGATGTAGTCTTCATACTTATGGTTACAGACTGCCCTCACGTCTACCATGGTAAACAGAGCAACAAGGGTTTGGGAGTATAAGCCTCTCAGGCTCGGGTGAGAGTCGATAGATCCCATTATGATGAGATTTACCAAGTTCTCGCTTGCGACGTAATCAAATCTCAAGCCCATGCCAATCACAATTGCCGCAGCCCTGCTGGCCATTTTCCAATGAGATACACGTGCCATATCAGTCAGCTCTTCTGAAAGCTCGGCCTTCTTCTGCTCTATCAAAGCTCGCTTCTTTTGAATAATTTCCCGTTTATTATTGACTATGGCTTGCACGTCGCTCTTTGGCGCGATAGATTTTATAATGCCTTGGTCAAGCACTGCCATTCGCTCCAGTGGACGTCCGTAGTCCATAATCTGGTAGACAACTCCGGAACAAAGCCTTTGAATCGACGGCTTGTCAACGGCGCTGGCTTCTATAAATGCTTTGATGAGGGCAGGAGCGTACTTCCAATGGCGGCCCACGGGTTTGGCAATGCTGCTGTAGAGGATAGAGTATATGGCACCCTTTAAACGGCGGTAATCGTTTGTCTTGATGGCGTTTTGTAATGCTTTGATCAATGTCGGAATAATAAGTAACCTTGATCCCCAAATTGCTTTGAGGGCAGATTCACTGGCTCCTTGGGCGCTTCGTCTTATATCAGTGTATAGCGAGATACTCGACTCAGCGAGGTCAAATAGAAGCGTCTCATCGAGTTTGGATCGAGGTCGTGGGGCCGCATTATGCCGAAGCCTTTGCACATGGTACACGTTCGCACGACGAACAAGTAGAGGCCGAGGGTAATCTTTACGAAGGCCGCTCACTTTGTATGGCTGGGAGTCCGCCACGAGAAGTTTTGTAACCCGGTCGAGAACATGGGCTGATTTCTCTATCCCCACATCCACAAACCATGAACGATAGGCGGTATACAACGGAGTGAAGCACGAAACATCATCTTCCTGTTTTTCTACCAGAAACCGGTGAACGTTATGTAATACTTCACCAACTCGTCGTCTAATGTCATGGATTTCGGTATAGAGTGAGTCGTCTTCTTTCAAGAGGTATCCCGTGGGATATTGGAATGTTTGTCGTACAGCAGAGTCATCGGAGCCGTCTAATGCAGAATCGTCTTCAGCGCTTTCTTCATTGGAATATTGATCGTTCGCATCAGGCATGCTGACATCGAGATCCGCAAGGGAGCAGTTCCGCCCACTAGTATCCTTTGAAGCTGCCTTGTTATCAAACAATATAGACATTCCAGAAATGATAAGCCTGAGTAAAACCAGCTTTCGCGTCACCTCATCGGACCATTCTTTGCCACTTCCATCTCGGTTTATATTTGGCGTTTCACATGTAAGGGAAGTAAGCTGATCTAGAGCGTTCTCCGCCTGCGATTTGAAAAGCTCGACTGCGAATTCAAGTTCCTCTCGTTGTGGGACATGCCATTTGATGGTTAGGTGGTTTGGATCCTGTCTCTGTCCCCATTGTTCTACCTGAATTCCCCTTTCCTTGATATCCGGCTCGTACAGAGAATGGTCAATAACATATGTTACTGTAAGATTCAGAAGCAAATGATGGATAAAATTCGACACGTGGACAGTAGGGATACCCTTGCATTTCTGCTGCATGTAGATGGCAATATCAAAGAGTTCTTTCCTGTATTTCAAAACGGCAGAGCCGACGTGAACGATACACATGCTCAGCATGCTAACATTCCAGACCAACCCGCGGTCACGTGGCAGAATGTCTGAGCCAGTAGTCCTGGTGGAGGCTGCACCATTCTCATCTATCTCGGTACGAATAGATTGTATTAAGAGTGGAACAAGAGCTTTCAGAGCTTTTTCAGGGTTGACTTTACAAACGGCGTTGCATATAAATGCCATCGCATCTCGGGCTTGATGGATAACATGACCGGAAACAAAATTCACAATCTTGTTCAACGCTTGATCATATAGTTCTGGGGAAAGGGATGCAAGTAGAGGCAAAAGGGTAGCAGGTAATGTATTCACGACATTTTCCTCGGGAGAGCCGCTGCGAACCCGAGCGGCGTCTGGGAGATTTTCGAGAAGAGTAAATACTCTACCGAGAAAGGATAACAAGAATTCCCCAAATTGGGTAGTGGATGACCGCAAGATCATTTCTTCCTCTTCATTAGTAAGTTCTGTATCATAATTCATCTCAACAGACGCTCCTTCATTTTCCATTCTTTCTAGCTCTCCAGTTATCCACTGAACAGCCAGCATATTTCCGTTCACATCGTCACGATCTCGAGTAAGATCTTCAAAAGGGATATTGTAGCAAACAGATTGTATGAAAGCTAATGAATGCAAAGACTTTTCCAGGTCGTTAGCATCAATTCCTGGTAAGACCAATCCCAGCAGTGTGGTGATATGGCATCGGAACCCCTTGGTTCGCGCCATCAACCGCGATAGAACCTGTAAAGATCGAAGGGAAGAGGTTGTCCTATGGACTTCCACCAAACCCTGAAGAGACGGGTAAATTCT